CCAGTGGATGAGCAGATGTTCCCAGGGTGAGTAGTGAAACCCCTATGAAGACAAAGGCGATTCGAGGAATGAAAGCCATAGCATCTGTCAGTTCAGGGAACGTTGATGTCGTATAGGGTGGCCTAATTAGCTAGGAGATCTTGTGACGTTTCAGTGTTTCTGAAAAAAACAGCACAGAAGCTCTGCGGCCTGTATGAGATGTTAAACTTCCAACTACTCAACAAAGAACAGGACATATATCACTTTGCCAAGAACGGCTCGGCAACGAAATGTTAACGGAGGTATTTGTTTTCGCGCAAACTTCACCTGCAGCTCGCTCTTATCAATACCTGAAACGCTCGTACATTTCGCCATTATTTAACTGTTCCTATGGCGACGGATGATAAGAAAAGCAGCTTCCGAATATAGTTACTTATTACTACAACGATGCTGAGATATTTGCAAGACTCTGGACCACAAGTGTCTGCGGGGAGAAACGAACGCGCTATTACCCTTTCCTGGGGACTAACGCGTTCACCAACACACCATGCCGGTCCTTCGTTTCGCCTGTCTCTCACCTTTTTATATAGTTACTTAGTTTCCGAAAGCCTTGTCGTGATAATGGTAAGGGTTGCAGCTAGCCTGCAACTTTCGTCCGATCAATCGATGAATTCCGCTGGAATTGAAAGAACATTCCGCGTCATTAGACTGACTCATCAAAAGCACTAGAATGTTTTTTGCCTCCACGTTCGTTCGACATAGTTAGCAAATGTTTCTTCTTTTTTTTACCATGGATAATGATTCGGCGACATCGCCATTTTCGTAGTCGTATTGGTCCTAGTTTTCATAGAACTCTACTACTGCTACTGATGTGTTTATCACATAAGAACAAATCGAGTGGAGTAGAACAACATACCAACAAGGTAAGTAACCCACCAGAAGAAACTCTTTTGTACAGAATCTTCCTGATCGATAGCTCATTCAAGGTCAACCATATTTTCAATACTACGAAAATCGACTATTGCTTTCAAAAGAACAGCATTTCATCGCCAAAAAGTGAAAAAATCTCCTGTTCCTCGCACTTCTTTTATATGAAACAACAATCTCATCCAAACGATGCGTAATGAAGTCGAATGCATGGTGAATCCCTCACGGAATGACCGATGCCGAGAGCTTTATCCTTTCATTTCTTCGATTTGTTTCCCATATCCATATTCTACGAAAGTTTTCGGTTTTTTTGAGTTCTTCGTCTATTGAGTTAAGATTTGGACTTTTTCATGCACTTAATTGAAAACTGCTCGAGTCTATTCCAGGGGTAAGAGGTGGAGTGGAGATAAAGATCTTTGTATGCATTAGAGGGTAAAAGGATAAAGCTCTCGGCGTTCATCAATACCTGAGGGAAGCACCATGCATCCGACTACATTAAGTATCGTTGGAGGTGACTGAATGCATATCTGGCTTTTACAGTGAATTGCCGTCCCTGGAGGGATGGAGGACTTGGTGGGCCATGAACGCGCGAATCGACTCCACGAGTGTGTAGCAGTGGCGCCTCCAACCACTGCGCCACACGCGCCCTTCTTTGTACGCATTAGGGAGACTATTTCGAAAATTTTATCTGCGACAGCTGGAAACTGCAGATCCTCAGCTACAGTTACTTCTATGGATGAGGGTTACAAGAAAACGAAACGGATGAAAACGGGGCCGACAGGTTATGCAAACACAGACCATTTAAGTAAGTACCCGACTAGCCTGCAAACACACCACAATCAGCAGCACAGTTGCGTTGAATCAAGAAGGATCAAGTGAAGGATCCACTTCAGAAACATCACCTAGAACCTCATGAATGGTGAAAAAAGCGAATTTGAAAATGTATGAAAAAATGGATAGCCGTCATACCACGATCGTCTGAAAGAAGTTGCTAAGAAAAACAGAACAAAAACTCCGTGCTTGCGTTTCTACTTACGCCGACTCCGTCCGCTATGCGTTATGTTACCATGGCGTCCTTCGACACACTCAATCTTGAGTCGATCTTCATACCTCAGCCGGTCAATCAGTGTAGTGAGTTAACTATTAAGTGCAACAGTATAGCGAGGAACTGGTAAGGGATACGACCAAACGATAAGAGAAGAAAATGATGCATCAGTGAAGTTATTTTTATCTGAAAAAGAAATGAACGACTATGAAGTGCTTCAACACCAAGGAAATGTTGCGACCTTCGTCGGCCACATTTAAAAGTTGGGACTGTGCAATGATGTTTTCTTCTGTAATAATTTTTATTGTGACGATAATCGCATTCGAATTCGATGATTTTCATGAATGGAAACAGCCAAAGGAAGGACAGAGCGCCTTGAAGACATGCTCAACTCTGTCCCTCTGATTAGTCTTGACTAGCTACAAATCGTAAGTCATTTGATTTTAAAAAACATCTTAGGCTACTGTAAGCCCTCAATTCTTCCATTAGTTAGACGTCAGTTGCATGCAAATATTCTATCGCTCCAGTTACTATACATTATTACTAATATTCTATTACTACTCTTTCTACTACTACAATTCTATTATTACTAAGGGCGCGTGTGGCGCAGTGGTTGGAGGCGCCACTACGACACGCACTTGGAATCGATCCCCGTGCCCATGGCCCACCAAGCCTTTCATCCCTCCAGGGTCGGCAAATTGGTACCAGACTTGTCTTGGAGGAGAGCAGCACTGGCTCGATATCGGTAGGCCACCGCGAGCCATTTTAAAGGCCAGATATGCATTCAATGACCTCCAAACGATACTTGATGAAGTCGAATGTATGGCGCATCCCTCAGGGATTGATGAGTGCCGAGAGCTTTATCCTTTTATCCTTTATTCTATTACTTTGAGGAAGACGAAGGTGCCGAAACGTTAGCCGAACAGTTTTTTTATCAACGACGTGTTAGCTTATCAATGGAAGAATACATATTCTAGTACTATTCTTATTTATTAAATTTCCTTATTATTCTATTCGATTTTAACGTAAAGTAGATGGACCTCTTCGATTTCTGATGTAAATTAGATGAACCTCAATACCTTCAAAACCGAGGAATTGGCTAGGGGAGTTCAAATACTTTGAATCTAATTGAGAACAATTAGAAGTTGCTTTCGTTCCAAGGAACACCGCCGATAATTTAACTCCCATATGCACGAAACATCATCAAAACAAAAACTTCGTCAACGATTAACGTTAATGGTAAGAGGAAACGGTCGAATACTCTGACTTTCATGCAAATCCAGTCTGGTGGGTTGTGTTCGGGAATTTCGACGATTCGTAAGGGCGGCGCTGATTCACTGAAAACGAAAACCATAGTTCATTCAAGGGCAACACGTGAACAAAAAACTGTCGAACGCAAATGGACGTTTCTCGATAGCTTTCAAGAAAACCTGCCCTAATAGAATCCACCAAATTATGAAATATTTTTAAAAGCTTCTAGAAAACGCTCTAAGTCAAAAATAGCCACAGGAATCGATCGGTTCTATCATCTACAAAAACACCGTGATTGAGCTAGAAGAGTAGGTAAATAGACAGGAAAGACAACTGAAAAAACGAGCATCGGATCAAACCGGCTGTTCCGTCTATGGAAAGCATTCTTTCTTAATGGTTTTCGCATAATAATTATCAGAAATAATGACAGTTAAAGACAGACCGTCGTCGAACTGACTCATAGCTGATGGTGTTGAAATTGAGTCCAATACATAAATAGTCTAGTGGAAAAGTAGGATTATCGATCAGCAACCAACTGAGAACAGAAATCATATCAAATCCTAGCAGTCGAGTAGCAAGCGTTTTTAATTGGCCAGTAATCTCCATGTGAACAAATTGAACAATTCTCACTTCTTCTAACATTTACGGAAGAACGAAAGTAAAACTAGCCGAGCAAACCTTAAGGAGTGATCGGAATCGCCGACGACTTGGAGGTAACCTTCCACAAGATGCTAAACCTTCCTTCGATCCATGTGGGCTAGCTATTGCCTGTGGTGATGGACGACCTGGAAACACCTTCACACTACTAGTATAGGACTGCAAGACATCGGGAACTCGTTCAACTGGCAAAATGCCGGTCCAACGGTATTTGTGCTGAGCTCCATGTAGTTTATGAAGATTTGTAAACAACATCAAAGTAACGTAATAAGTAGAAAAAAATATAAAACGAGGATGCATTGAACTTCAAAAGGAAAGAACTACTAGAAAAAACGATATTAAATTGCATTTTTGACGGTAATGCATAGTCTCTACAGAATTAACACAACCATAAAGGATAAAGGATAAAGCTCTCGGCGTTGATCAATCGCTGAGGGATGCGCTATGCAGTCGGCTTCATTCAGTATCGTTGGAGGTGAATGAATGCATATCTGGCCTTTACAATGACTCGCGGTGGTCTACCAATGTATCAAGCCAGTGCTATCACCCAAACAAGTCTGGTACCTATTTGCCGATCCCGGAAGAATGGAAGGCTTGGTGAGCTATAGGCGCAGGGATCGATTCCACATGTGTGTCGCAGTGGCACCTCCGACCACTGCGCCACACGCGTCCTTAACATAAGCATAGACTAAGAAATGACAACTTTCAAAAAGGTACACTGTAAAAACAACACTAAATTTCACCAACGAGGATAGTTCTGACGTACTCCATGCTTCTTCACATTTCTATGGAAAAATTAATGGGATTGAATTCTACGACGAGAAGACCCGATGTAAACAACATTGAAGTAATCCTATGGGTGGTTCAGATATCATCCGTCACTAATTTCCGTTTCGTATAGGAAAAAAGATCCATATTCGATAAAATGATTGGAGTTACATTCAATAAGTACTGAACCAATGGAAACGATCGCTGATAAAGAATCCAAATAGATTCAAATGAATGAGATCGGACCCCTCAATATCTTTCCACGACAAAGTAACAGACGTTAGGAGATTCTAGGTGCACAAGTCGGGTATGAACAGGTGCAGCGCAATATGAGTGGAATAATTATTTATACAGTTAATATACTCAGGATTTTTCAAGAACTTTGCGGAGAAGTTCCACGAAACGGCCAGTGTAACCGCAGGAACAGCAAGAACTTCTCCCACTCGTAGTCGATGAACGTGCAACCGGGGAAGGACGGTTCGGCAGCAGCGGAGATCGTGGTGAGTGGCGGTGCAGCTTTGGAAATCGGATGATTTGACATCGTAAACAAAGTCAGTGGGACGCCCGGGCCACTGATCAATGGGTAAGCACGAGAATTATGGGTCATCGATGAAATTGAAAGTGTGTACGACGTGGAGAGAAATTGTGGCCGGCATCGGACGGTATTCGAACGACTCGCTCAAGTTGATCGACGACAATGGGAAGCCCGTAGAAACCACAATAAGGTTGACGGTTGTGTAACAATCTGACATGATCCTTTCAGGAATATGACGCCGATACATTATATAAAAGCTGAACAAAAAGCGTTTGGCGTTAATGAACCCATTCGGAATGCGTCATGCATTCGACTCCATTCGTAGCGACATAGGGGTGAGTGTATAAATATGAGTTTTTGACACAAGAATGTGCCAAATCAATATTATTGTTCTCCACAACAAACATGGTAGGGATTTGATGACTGCGAATTGTTAAGAGACTGGCCGGCTCAGAGCGCGAACGAAGCGAATTACCACGCGTGTATTTTAAGGTACCACAAACTGTTGCTCCTAATTCGTGCTAGGTGCGTGCTGCGTGTGGCCATGGGAAGCAAAACCATATGACAGTGAAGATTCGCTTATATAATGTCTTACGGTGAGTTACCAATATATCAAGTCATGTTCTTATCCTCTCAAAGAAGTCTGTACCAACTTGTAGAACGTGGATGGCGAGGATTGGTGGGCACATAGTGCGCGATAGAAAAGGCCACCAATCTAATGTGTAATGTACACCTCTAATTATTGCGCTACACCTGCCCTAACCTGCTGAGTAATTGCGTCTGACACAGTAGATAGTAATAGTTGGTAATCACACGTGACCTGTCAACATATCTAACGTAATGTGATGACCTGAGACGTTGAGTCACAATCTTTATCACAAAAGAACTTTGTGCTAGTTGTCGCACTTTCTAAAAACACGGACGACAGAGAAGACAACGATTTTTTGATAAGCTTGCACGAGGTTGATAAATATATTTATTTTCGGCTAACGTTTCGACGTCTTCGTCTTCCTCAGAGCCGGTGATCCGAGTCGATGGTCCATGCTTGTTGTTCGCCTCGACGTTGCGTCTTCGCCTTCGTGTCGAGCCAGATCTTCCTCAGTGAGCCATCTTCTCGAAGATTCGAGGCTCTGAGGAAGACGAAGACGTCGAAACGTTAGCCGAAAATAAATATATTTATCAACCTCGTGCAAGCTTATCAAGAAAGAATACATATTGATTAGTCACACCGAGGTTTAGGGAAGGTCGGTTTCGAAATACAACGATTTTTGTTTGCAGCCATTCCACCAAGGTTATGCAAATATTTTTGCCAACTGTGCTCACTGAAATGACATGTAGAAGCTGCATAGAGGATCACATTCGTCGAGAGGTTAGCCGTAATAGAACAAACATTATGCGAGCGACTTTATATTATCCTTTGAAGAAAACAGTTGCTAAATGGTTATCTTTAAAGAATATGTTTTTTAGGACGAACGGTTAGAATGCATTAGGACTTCGCAACAGAGTCAACTATACAATGAAAAATACGTAAATCGATCGAATCGTAACGATAATCAGTAAGAGAATTGTGTGCTGTGATAGTCAACATGGAGATTTGAACGGTTAGACAAATGACCCTGTTTTTTGTTTTGCCAATATTCGAGAGAACAATTGCTTTTCTCTATCGATGACAAACGGTTCGTTGTTATTACGATGAGAAAAAGACCTCAGGAAAGGATAAACAGAAGAAGGAAGGAGAACAGAAATGTTCAGTGAAGAGTCCGCCTCCTCGCGAAGACTTTGACGGAAAACTTTTCGATTGATTTAAAAACTACCAAAGTATCTCCAACAGTAGTTTAGAACTCGAAAGACCGACTTTCTATAAACCTCGGCATAGATAGTTGATATATTAATTTATGTGATCTTATAAACTGATTTTCTTAAGCTGACGTGAGGTTGGTACAGATCTTCGTTGTCGTTGTCGTTATTTTTGATGTTATTGATCGATGGCCGACGTTTCGGCGACTTCGCCTTCCTCAGAGCCTGGACTTATTTTATGTTAGAACACTTTTTATTATTCGATGGAAAAAAAGGTTAAAGTGTTAATGAAGATCAAACTTTCAAATAGACGCCATATTGAACAGAAAGGCCACTCACCGTGATGTTACGTGCGGGACTGGTCCACACGTAGTTCACGCGAGCAAGACACGCCCCGGGGTCAAAATATCATTTTGAAATAGGGCGCCAGGTCACGCGTGATAGTGAGGCATTCGTCTTTCCGGTTCATCTTTGCACTTTTGAAATTTATCCAAAACGCCTCAAGAGTTTTGCGCGCTGATGTTTTTGATTCCTGCGCTAGGATCCGCACATTCACTTCAAAATCATCGCCGTTGTGCTTTTGTGCCCTATGCGTACCTAGAGGGGTGTTTAAACGGATTTTAGCTTTTCCATCTGGATGTTCTTTTATGCGGACATAAAGTGGTCTACCAGTTTACCCAATATATTCCTCGCCGCATGCATTACATGAGATCAAGTATATTATACCTAAACTCATGCACTCCCCGTCTCTCCCGTTAGCAGAGATCATACAGTTTTCTGAGCTGCACAAACGATCATAGAGACGGTTTCGAACAAACTGGCGGCGTTGGGTATTGGGTGGGATGTCAACAATCGTTACATAATTTTCAAGACCACTTTTTCTTAAGCACTTTTTAATGGCGTGACTTACTTCATTCGATATGAAGGGCAGCTTAAAGGGGATCCTACCTTCGTCTGAAATATTATTTTGGGAAACTACCCAACGTTTTCCTCTAACCCGAGTGGCTTCTACTTCGTAGCCATTGAAAATGGCAATTTTTCGTGCCACGTTTTGCGATTCCTTCCTTTCCTCTTCTCCTGTACACACATTTTTAGCCGTACGATACATTGAATTAACAATGGGTCAGCAGGGCAAAGGCCGCGGGTATAGAGCCTTCAGTTATTTCTCGACTTAAGAACGAAACGAACACCCGATTTGCCCTGTCCTTTACTTGCTTATTAAAACATATGAGCTTACTTCAACTGATGATGTTACATCAACGAACCAGTCATCATTTAAGTTAGACCTATCATCAGTTGTATAGGCGGGCCAACGGATAGAATAACGTGGTTCCTAAGCCTTATCCTAACCCAGCTGCTAAAATTCATCCCAACCCATCTACCTAACACCAAAGTATTTCTAGATCACCTAAGGCGCGCGCAACCAAACAGCACGCATATAATGGAGTCATTCGATGTTAGTTCACTTTATACCAACGTGTCCAATGACTCCGCAATGCAAGCCATTCTCGAGTTGCTCGTAGAGCATGAAAAGAAAATAAAAATGCACGGCTTGTCGATTGCGCAACTAGTGACCCTCTTAAAACAGTGTCTTAGTTGTTCAATCTTTAGGTGGTCTGGAATTGCACAAATTAGAGGGTTGGCGATGGAGCAGCGTTAAGCACCAAGCGCCATCGCTTTCATGTCTATGGTGGAAGCTCCAGTTCTCGATCACCGACCCTTACTCTACTGTCGATACATAGACGACTGCTTCATCGTCTGTTCCACACAACAAAAGATGGATGAGTGCTTTGAATTATTAAACCGACAACGTTGCTGAGATTTTTGCAAAACTCTGGACCGCAGGTGTCTATGGTGGGGAACGAATGCGCTATTAACCTTTCCGGGGAGTAACGCGTTCACCACTACACCATGCGGGTCCTTTGTTTCGCCTGTCCTTTCCCCGGAAAGGATTCCCCACCATAGACACCTGCGGTCCAGAGTTTTGCAAATATCTCAGCAACGTTGTGGTTGTATTTAGATTAGTAACCTGCCATGAAAATTATAGAAGGCAGAAAACAAAACGTTAAACATTAAACCGACAATCAGAGTATGTAAAATTTACACGAGAAAAACCTACTGGGAACTGGTTTCCATTCTTAAACATCCAAATAAAGCTCTCAGAAAGTGGCTATATAACAAAATGGTATCGCAAGCCAAGTAGTAAAAACATTCTAGTCCACTGCCTCTCCTCTCATCTTTCACACTTTAAAAAAGCACTTATCAAAAACATGTATCGTACGGCTAAAAATGTGTGTACAGGAGAAGAGGAAAGGACGGAATCGCAAAACGTGGCACGAAAAATTGCCATTTTCAATGGCTACGAAGTAGAAGCCACTCGGGTTAGAGGAAAACGTTGGGTAGTTTCCCAAAATAATATTTCAGACGAAGGTAGGATCCCCTTTAAGCTGCCCTTCATATCGAATGAAGTAAGTCACGCCATTAAAAAGTGCTTAAGAAAAAGTGGACTTGAAAATTATGTAACGATTGTTGACATCCCACCCAGTACCCTACGCCGCCAGTTTGTTCGAAACCGTCTCTATGATCGTTTGTGCAGCTCAGAAAACTGTATGATCTGTCCTAACGGGAGAGACGGGGATTGCATGAGTTTAGGTATAATATACTTGATCTCATGTAATGCATGCGGCGAAGAATATATCGGGGAAACGGGTAGACCACTTTGTGTCCGCATAAAAGAACATCTAGATAGGAAAGCTAAAATCCGTTTAAACACCCCTCTAGGTACGCATAGAGCACAAAAGCACAACGGTGATAATTTTGAAGCAACTCTTGAGGCGTTTTGGATAAATTTCAAAAATCCAAAGATAGACCGGAAAGACGAATACCTCACTATCACGCGTGACCTGGCGCCACCGACTCATTTTTGATAATCTATGCATATTATTTGCGGTTATAACAACTATTGGTCACATTTTGCACTAACCGTTTGCTGCCAATACGATGTGCTTAACGTACGACTTATTTCCGACGACAATTCACCGCACGCAAATAAACAAGCATACTGTAGCATAGTGTACAATCAAAGGTATTGATCGGTAGCGAACAATATGCATATTCATAACCATCCGTCATGTAATTGACACCAAGCTTACTTACTATTCAAGAGACTACAAGAGGACGTTCCTATGTGGCAGGTAGGTGTGGTGGATAAAAACTCGAACAAGACTAGTTGCTATGGGCGAGAATATGGGAGGCTTGGTGCCTGGAGCAGAGTC